TTCTCAACACATTGCTATAAAACTCATTGTTAACTAATACTTCATCATTTTTATTTTTCAATCATAACATATATATTTTTCTAAAAAAAAAAAATTCTCTTTTCATTTGATATAGAGGCCTTAAGCATTAGTATTCTTTTATGCTTCTTTCATTATTCGAATTTACTTTTTTTATTTTTTGCCTTTTATCATCCTCAGTTTTCTTTTCAAAATAATGTAGGGATTTTTTTGAATATCACCATTCAATTATCCATTATCATTCCAATTTTAGGACAAATGCAATGTAAAAAATAAGAATAAGTCTATAAAAGTTAGCAAATGAACAAATTCAAACATCACTACATAATTTAAGGTTTGGGTGGGATAACGCATCTAAATAATAAATATTTAGACTATTTTAACAATAATTTAGAATTCTTTCTCAAAAACTCATTCTATTGATACTTTTGATCTTTTAAGTTCATTAAACAAAACTTTGCCCTTATATCAAAAGATTTTTTATTGATATCGATTTTCCTTATACCTAAGCTATCTTTTTAGCTTTCTAGCTTAAATATCCTCTTTTTACTCAAATCGTCATTTAAATTTGAGCTTTCAATTTTCTCAATTTTTTTTCTCATCTTTTTTTTTGTTTTCTTTTTTAATTTTTTTGAGTTGTCTTTGTTCATCACTATTTTTCTCATCAAGTTCCCTATCACTCCTAAGACATAAGAAAGAATCATAATTTCATTGTACTTTAATACTCTATAAGCATGTCATGGTTCAATATATGATTCTTCGTTTAAGTATTCATATTTGATTTAAATAGACTTTCAAGATACATAATGGAAGCTAAAATGTAAGTTATAAAAAGTGAATAAAATAGACCCAAAATATGTCTTTTAAAGGTTACAAACAAAAAAAAAAATCATTTCCTCATCGTTTGAAACACCTAGGCATTTTGTTCCATTTTTCAATTTTTTCTCCCTTTTTCATTTTTTATTTTATTTTTTCTTTCTTTTTTCCTTTTTTTTTTGTTCCAAAATGATTTCAACACAAAAATATTTTTGTTTGCCTTTAAGATATTTGCTAACCTTCACTTTCTTCTTTTGTAAACAAGTTTTCTCAAAATTTTATCTCTTAGTATAGAGCATAATTCTTGATGGATTTCTTTCAAAAATCATAATAGGCTCAAAGGAGATGACAAAATGGATAATTTTACTCACGTATAAAAGGTAAATGAAATATGATCATTTCTTATTTCAAATGTAAATACTCTTATTGAAAAATATTTATTAAGCAAGAACAAACTTATAGATAAATCAACCTAAAGGACCCACACGATTATGAAATAATTTATTAACTTTTACCTTTAATGGGTAAAAGCTACAAGCTAACTTTAGCTTCTTTTGTATAATTTATCTTATTTTAGTCTTACAAAACAATCACCAAGCTTGTCATTATATATGAATAGGTTTTCAAAATTAAATCCTGAATTATCATCATGATTCTCTTTACATTCATTAAATATGGAATTGAAAGTGGTTGAAATTGAAAATATATGTAAGGGTGTATGAAAATAAAGAATAGCAATTTGATTTAATGAAAGAGAAAATGTAATAAAAATGTATTATATCTACTACTTTATTAAAATGATATAATATAAATGAATATCCATCATACATTAAAGACTTTCCTAATAATTGTGGGCATAAGCATTTAAGGAATTGCATTACTTTGTAAGAACTCCAAAAGTGACAAGCAATTCCAACCTTTCTTTATAATCAACCCTCATAAAAGCACTTTTACAATTATATACCCATGTGATTAGGTTAAGATTTTCACTACATCTGACCATTTTTTTTTCAAAATTCAATAAGTCAACTTTTAATTAACCTTTCACCTTATGCTTCAATGGTGTGCAATGTTCTGTGAAATAACTTGAAATCTCAATATGATAATCACAAATAGCATTGACATCATACCACTTAATGTAAGGAGATTTCAAAGGCACTAAATAGATTAGTGCAACAAAAAGATTCTTAAAGAGTTAAATAAGTAATTTAGTGTTGGTCATAAGAATTGGATCAATGAAAGTTCTCCCTCTTTGGTTACTCATTAAATTTTTGGAATAAGCAATTGATTGATTAGCATATACTTTGGGAGATGTTATTTGTAATTAGGTGATAAGGTTCAACATCAACATTCACCTTATATAAAATATGAACAATAACATAGAAACAAAAAATATGAAGAATATTATAACACAAGAATTTACATGAAGAACCACAAACATGAGAAAAATTATAGGTTGTAAAAGATAAAATATATTGTATGAAAACTTATTAAAATCACATATAATTTACCACTCAACCACAATAAATAAGATTCTTTCAAACAATTACTTATCTAAAAGCACTTGCACCCATTATTCTTTTGTTATAAAATACAAAGAGAAAAGAAACAAGAGAAAAGTAAAGAAATCAAATGCTCTGAGACGAACAGATTTTGATTTCTTTTATGGTTACCTCTAATGAAAATAATGATATGGTATTTATAGGCTTTCTTTAAACTTTACAACCTCAAATAATATATAGTTATTAATGCACTTCTTTACACTATATTTTATGCCATTAATGCCATAAACTTCGACAATAATTCCACCAATTCCATCAATCACACTAATTTAATATTTTATATAGCCAATATTTTAACAAATCTCTATCTTGGCCAGATAAAAAATATATATGTAATTATAATACCCACAAAATTAAAAGCATTATTATTTTTTATGTCTTATATTTTTATTTATTGTTTATTATATTGTTTTAAAAACTAAATTAGTTTAATAATAAAAATATCTTCATAATTATCAAAGTATTTATGACCAAATAATTTTGTTGACATAGAAGAAAATTTTAATAATATTGATAATCAACTAATTGTTATTATTTTACTTTTTAGACTCCATAAAGTTATATAAATAAAAATTAAGTTATTATGACAAATAAACAAATTTTGTCACTTTCAAATCAATGACAAAGAAATTTGTAACATTAAATGACTACGTAACAATTTCATAAGATATAATACTAGTGATAAAATTACATGCTTTTAGTGACTTTTTTTTTGTCCGTTGGAGGGCTAGGCTCTTACAAATAAATCTAGTGAAAGCCACTCTAAGGGAGGCAACTAGCAAGATACTTTTCAACTTTGTAGTTGGGCTATGCAAAGAAACAAGGTTTATATGCTATTCAAGATCTTGTTTGGTAAACCAGTCCACCTTTTAGTTCTTCTCTCTTGGAACATGGCTAATCTTTCAATTCTTCCTCATGCTTCAAAGCTATTTGGTTATCCTGATTGTATAAATGTAAGGATGGGTTTTAAGCACTTTAAAATCAAGGATGAAAATGATGCTTTTCAAGTTTGACTCAATTTCAAGATTATCAACAGTAATTTGGTTAGTAAGTTCCAATCCTTGGTTGATGGCCCTATCTTAGCTCCATCAATGCTACAACATCCCAAATATCTCATGAAATCCATTAGTCATTCTCCATGCTCTCATCTAATGTAGTTGCCAAAAGTTGTTTTCTTTATGACTTGGTCCCAACTACTATGAACATTCACTTTTATATCCAAATGATATCTTTTGTTTCATTGAAAATGAACTTTTTTTTTGTGCTATATACTAATGTTTTGATGGCTATGCTTGATAAAAAGGTTGGCTCAAATCAATTACAAAAGACTCAAACTTGCTATTAAAACTTAAAAAGATACCACCTAAGAAAAGAAAATGAAAAAAAAAATAACACTAATAATCCCAAGAAAAAACAAAACAAATTCAATATATAAAGCAAAACATGATAATAACATACTAACTAAATGTGTTCATGAGTCAGAGCAAGATTAGGCTAAGCTCGATTAGCCTTACCTAGGGTTCACCCTGGTCCAATTAGGCCTGCATAAGCTTGATACTATTTTAAATTATTTTTATTTTAATATTTTAATATATTTTAAAATTAAAATTAAATAAAAATATTTTTATTATTTAAATAATATCCTCTACTTGAAAGACATTATCTATAGCCCAATTCAAGTCGAATTAGGCTAGCACGTCCATCTTATGGACAACTCTAATGTTGATGGGCGAGCTCTAATGCTGACTTTATACATAAAAAACTAACAAAAAGATTTTTCTACCTAAAATTTCAAAAATATTTTTATACATATTATTTCTTAATAATTTTAAAGTGCTTTATAAATAAATTAGTTAAGTTCCCTCGAACCTAAATTTATTATGTTCATATATATTATTCTTTATTCTATATATTTATTTTGGATATATATAACAAAAAATTTTATTTGTATTTATTTAAATGTTACATTTCTTTAACTTGGGTTATGAATTTAAGTTTTATATACATATGAATATGATAATAATTAAAATCAAATTGAATAATATTCAAGTGGAATCCTTTTTTTTTTCAACGAAATTTTTTTTGTTATTATATCTTGCATGCTCAATTTTTTTAATTATTACAAATAAAAATAATTAGCATGATTAGCTTAAGTACCTTTTCATTTTTCATAATTTAAAAGTATCAGATAAACAATTAAAAGGTTTCAATTCTTTGTATCAAAGTCTCTAGTCTATTGTTCTAAAATCTATTTTTATTTAAAAATATAATTTTTTATGATTTTTTTTTTGCTTTAATACCTAAAATATTAAATATGATATATAAGATAATATATTAATAATGTAAAAAATATAATGATTTTATTTTTATAAAAAATGTTGCTAGTGATTTGTTCGTAAAAATTGTGAGATCAATTGCTTATTATTATTATTATTATTATTATTATTATTATTATTATTACAAGTTTTTTTGTTATACGTTAGATCTAAAAACTCTTCTTTTTTGTTAGTAATAGATTTGATATATTTTGATAAAAATAAAAAATATAAATTATTGTAAAATATTAGTTTGACCTCTCAAAATTAAACATTAAGATCTGTTGTTAAGTAACTACATATTGTTTGATCTTATTTGAAATGTATATAATGTGGTATTTAGAAACTGTTTTGCTAATAGTCAATTATTTTACACTTCCCATACTAACAAACACAATAACAAATGCATGGAGACATGAATATTGTGCATAATGCCCGGAGCACAATTATTGCAAATGTTGAGCCAAGTAAAGTTGAAGGACCGAGGAAGCAGCAAGGAAACGCTTGTGTTTCAATATGTGCTTTTAGTGCTTTTGTTTCTACATTTGTATCCACATATGCATATGCTTATGCTTATGCTTCAGCCTAATTTGAAATCTGCATCCATAGCTACATATGTTTCTTCTGCTTCTGCTTTTCTATTTATCTCAGGATATATATTTACCTTTTGCCTCCGCCTTTGCACGTGTTGCTATAAAAAAAAAGAAAAATTCCAACCCACTTTGTTCAAGTTTTGATTTTTGTCTTCATTTTTTTTCCACATGGTAGAATGAAAAGAATCAGCCACCAAGAGTTTTGAATAGGTTGACAAGTGATGTGGCTTGACATCATGACAAAGATTATAGGTAATAAGTTTCTGCCCGTCCATGTCATTGTTTGGTGGGACGAATCGTTGAGTGCAATTTGGAAAAAGGATCAAACACATGTATAACACCTCAACTCAGCTTCACCAAGCTTCAGTTTCTCTAGGCAACCTCGTTAGGCCCCTGGTCTCCAAAACATTGGCCCGGCTTCCAGCCCACTGCTGTTAGTCATTTCAGTCCTGAAGTTGATCTCAGACGATGAAATTCAGTTTCAACCAACACTGTTTCTCGTGTCAAGGATGCATTCGAAATTGAATTAAATACACATGAACAAAAATGCCTGGCACTGAAGGGGAGACCCCAGAATGGCTATTCTGAGTTTTCAGGGATTCGGCTATTCTTTGCTAAAAATGCACCATTCAAAATACTTGCTAAGATCCTATCAGAAACCAAAATAAAGATTGTGAAATAAGTGCAGGCACCATTTGCCATTCCACTGACAACTCCCATATTTCATATCTAAAACAAATAAATATTATTAACAGTAAAGGAAAAACAACTATAATAATAATGATAACTGTGGATATAGCCTCAACATTAGAATTAGAAAAGTTTCTGAACTATCAGCTTGAGTATTCAAATTACATTTTTAATTACAACATTCCATCTTAGCTCATAATGAATCTGCTACAATGTAACTAGGAAAGTTTTTTTTTTTTTTTTTTGCCAGAACACTTTGAGCATGACTTGGCAATAAAGAATCAAATCAATGGACTTCATAAGGTTGCAAACCAATGACAACTTCAGGACTACAACATGCGGTGTTATTCACCATCACACACAAATTCTGGCATGGTAAGTACTTAATCCGAATGGAGTATAGTCATCCAACAAGCATCACGAGGGATCACCCAAACTCTTATGGACAACTACCAACGTAGCATTACACGTAGCATTATTCAATGTTTCCGACAGTTAACGACAGATTAGCAATCACTCAAACTATTATGGATAACTCAATGTCGCAATATTCATGTCTACAACAGTAAACTACAAGTGGTTCACAAATTTTGCATCTTGGTATTTTTCATCCTTACTTTGGCCAATGAGTTATCCTTTCACAACATCTCACTTCAAACTAGGTCGATAGCAATGATTTCAACCACAATCCATTTATGACACCCAAAATAACCATCCGCTTAGAATGGAGTTCCCACACCACCTGCTCTCAAAGTATCAAGCACAAGTTCATCCCTTGATAAAAAAAATCATGGATAGAAAAATCCAAATGATACAGCCATTAGCCTCACAAAAAATCAGCATGATAACACTGGCAAAACTTGCAGAAGCATACTCCCTTTTATATCTAACAATCATGCCCAATCACCTTAAACCAAATTAGTAAGAATTTCGTCTGTTCAATATTAAAGCACCTTTTGCCCTTTTCCAACCTTTTATTGCAATGACAATTGAGTCTTATTATGAAAGAACCTATTTTCCTTGATAAGGACTCCAATTTTAGGAATTGATGTACTTCAACCTCTCAAGATTTGAATGAAAAATAATGATTTCATCCAAGGTGATGCTTTATCACCTTTTCTGACATAGGCTTAGGTTTAAAGCATTACCTCAAACAGAATGATCTTTACCCCTAATTTGGTACGTAATACTTAAATAGAGATCTGAAATACACGTTTATACGAATGCATAAACAAATATGATTAAACTTGTATTAATACATTAATTTTTTATGAGAGATCCAATTACAAAAATGTAAAATATTTAAGTTTTACACCATTTCATTTCTTATTATTTGATTTCTATTGTCAATCCAATCAATGGATTTCATGCTCTAATCATATAAATCATGCATACTAAATTTCAAGCCAATAAAAAATGTATAGCTATTTATTAGATAACAAAAAATTTTCAATTGTTTAATATATATAAAAAATGTGTTCTTGATCGATGTAATATGCATATGGAATTGACTTGAACTTTTCAATGCATGATGAATATGAGTAAGTTGTTAAATTCAACTATTAGCTTGTTAAAATATTAATTTTACATAAAGTTATAGAAGGATGTAAAACTTAATTAGTTTTATACTAGTGTAACTTAATCCCTCCGTTTTATTTTTTACATAATAAAACTCATACTGAGATTATGCAATTACTATATATTAACCTATTATATATAATAAATAGAATAAATGTGTATTTATATAGTTCCAGTAATTTTGTATGAACATTAATGTTATGGGTGTAGTAACACCAAAATTTTTGGGATGATTACATCATACTAAAAGAATATTTATGCAAAAGCAACTTGCGTTCTACCACTAATGCAATCAGTTATGCTAGACGTAGTTGTCTAAAAAAAAGCAGATACATAAAAATTTGAGGATACACAATAGGTTTAGGCCATCCAAGATGGTTTTCACCTTTCTAAGATATGTTCCACTTCTCTGCATGAAACAAAAACATACACCGTCTAACACTTCCAGTCAAAGGACCCTCATCAATTGCTATGAGTATGGAAGATGTTCTTTGGTTATGCTATACATTAAAATGTAAACCAGATTAAGGTTGTAATGCCTGAGTCATACCCTCGTAAAGATTTTGGAAAGCATTTGTAAGACTGAACAGCATAACTAACCACTACCACTCCTCTCCATGTTTTATACTAATTAGTTCATACCCAATTTCAAGTTAATTTCAGCAATATTAAGAAACGCCACCATATAGAGAATGTCATAAGAGTCTTAAGAACTGAAAGCTTGTATTTTTTTTTTTTTAATCTTGTTGAGTGCTTGTCTACAAACAGTTGTCGACTTTCATCTTTCAATGTGAGAAAAAGGAACTACGTTTGCGCCAAGACTTTTACAAACAAAGTTCTTTGAAAGCTGTTCAAAATATGTTTTAAGATTTGCATGCTACAAGACATTCGAATGACACATTTAGTGATAGCAAATCTGCTTCAAGATCAAAAGCATTTTAAATTTTGTGCATCAATGGCAGTTTCATTGTTAGCGCAAAATCCCCAAAGAAAACCACCAATAATTTAGCCATTTATACAGGCCATTTCCATGGGTACACTTGCTAATTCCCTGCTTTCATTGGACATAATGCATAGACAACTCAACTTCTCATGCTTTACTCATCAAGTTTCTATCAAATAAGTGGAGATGCTTTTCAAATTTTCAACACAATTTCTCGACCTTAGTTGCTGATATTTTTCATTTTTTCTACATTCATAAGCCCCCACATGGTATCCTCATTGTTAAGGTTAAAAGAATTGTTGGCCTACCATTATATGCACATCTTGTTCATATAACCAAGGACAATTACCTCACAAATCAAAACAAATAACCACAAAAAGGTGTTCTAGAGGCATTTTTCGATGACATACACTGGCAAATTCCTTGCTTTCATCAGTCACAATGACATAGACAACTCCAATATCCACCCTTTACTTCTGAATTTTTCAAATAAAACTTAAAGACTTTATAATTTTAACATCACTTGACCTTAGTTGCTGGTTTTTCTTTTCATTTTTTCTGCACTCATAAGCTTCAACATAATATTAACATTGTCAAAGGTGAAAGAATATTTATTTGCCCTGAATATTTTGTCACACGTCTTTATCATATAACCACGGACAATCATCAAACCAAAAATAAATGCACATAACAACCACAATAAAAGGAAACTAAACAAACTCATGTGAAGAAAAGGGTTGAGCTATTAGTCAATGCCACCTGACAATTCCATTGTAAGTTCCAACTTCCAAACAGTAGCTCCAAACACCACTTCCATGCTGCTGTTGTAATCAATTTAAGCTTCTTAGCTTCATTTTCACAACCATAGCCAAATGAAACCAAATATCTTTCTCTACCTTTGGCATAGCTTAATTTTGTCCAATAATAGACAAAAGAGAAGAATCCACTGAATCTTTTTGAAGCTCATCAATATTTAAGAGCCCATCCTCTATAAAAGCGTTTTGTCTATCTATCTATTTACCTATCTATCAATGTTTTCAATTTGAGGTATTTTTGTACCTTGTGCCTGTTCTCATGATACCTAAACCAAAAATACTTGCTGACTTTCAATCACCAACCAAATAAGCCTTAAGCTTTGAGATGAAGATTTTACCCTAAGAAACCCGACTCCATTAGGGCTTAGAAACCCTTGTCTCCTCAACTTGAGAAAAAAAAATGGGGTCAATAGTGGACTTCAAATTCTTCTCAATTTCATGGGAATTGGAAAGGCTCATTCGCATTAAGGACTTCATGCATCCCCATTTGGTTACAAATACCAACAGGCAATCACAACTTACATTGAAGAATAAATAGTCTGACAAAATTCCTCAACTCCTTAGATGAAATCTTCAACTGCTCAGAACTTATTCACATTCAAAGCCACGTCTTCTACAAATTATCAACCAGCCACATTGCCCGACTTCTTCTCTAATAAGATCGTTCTTCACACCAGTCCACCAGATTTAGCTTGTCCAACTAGCTTCATGACAACAAACAGAACGCTCTTTGCACACAATCTGGAGCTAAACAACTTGAAAACAAAGTGGATCAATTCTATCCATAATCCGGTACTGCTATGCAAACTTTCTACATAATATCTCCAACAACATCAAAGGGAGCAAACCTTTTATAAAAGTCAACCCCCACCCCCCAGCTTGCCATGTCCAGAAAATCTAGCTTGGTGCCCTTTGGCATGTGGCAAGATGGTCAGCCTAGAGAGTGGCACATAAACTAATTCAATCTACTCAAGTCTGTAATACTAGTTCTACTTTATCCTTAGTGGTTCTAGTTGATGAACCATGAATCTTGCTTACTCAAATTCAAGGATTATTGATTGATGATTTGCAGCTCACTTCTTTGGCTTTTAGAGCCCCCAACCTCCCATTATCTACCAGGTCATATGGATAGTCATCCCATTTTCAATCAATCAGTGGCACTCTAAATTTTGTCCCTCTATGACTGTTAACTGTGGGGATTAATGTAATTAAGGGCCAAACCATTTTAGGGTTTTAGAGGTTTCAAGCTGAATTACGAAAAACTGGGGATTTAAAGATGACAAGTCAAGGTTGTTTATAGAGGCTAATCACAATAGAAGAAGTTTAGAACCTGAGAACCACACCGAAGGTTTTCAAAGCAATCAAATCTAAGAGAAAATGCATTCACAACCTCATCAGAGTTGAACAACACAAAAAGAACTCCCTTGTTAAATCTCTTGAAATGAGAAGAGTACATGACAATAAAAGCAGATTAAGTTGACTTGGCCTTTGATTATTAGATAAGATCCAAATATGCCATTGGACTACATATAAAGCCAGATAATATTACTAAATGCGCCCACGAGAGAACAATACTTGTGTCTAACAAGGATCGGATTAAAATAATTATTCTTGGCCTGATAAAACTAAACCTCCAATTTATTTTTCCTTTTACTACTTGATTTCTGTTTTTCCAAATTATGATATAAAATAAAATAAAATAATAATAATAATAATAATAATAATAATAAAAGAAAATAAAGTTGTTTAAAAGGGAAGAAATGGCTAAAAAGTAAAAAACTAACACCAATTCAAGTATGACCACTCCATCTAAAAACTAAAATCATTCTTTTTATTATCCATAACAGTCAAAACTTTAGTTTCTAATTCTTTAAGAAAAACAATTGCATGTGTACCTCAATTAAATTTTTTTATGTATTTCCAAAATAAACAATCAAAAGTAGATTAAGAAAACTCAATAGACTATTCAAAATTTTAAAAAAATAAGAAAAAAATAAAAATAAAACTTGACTCAGCCAGAAAAGTTGATCAATCTACATCCCATGTCAACCCTAAATTCTTATAGTAATCCCTAGCAATTGAAGTTTAGGTATTAGAACAACTTTTCTCTTGCCTTTTACCTATACTTTACGTATCATCAATATTGTTTCCCATCAAACAAACAAGACCTACTGTCACTTTTGAAAATCAAACAATGAAAAGTCCATGAAAACAAAATCACATTTTATTTAAAACATTAAAAAACTAAGAATCAGTTAAATTTATAACAATGAGGGACTTTTTAAAGAAATATTAAGATCTAATCAATACTTTTCCTTATGTAGAAACTGTTTTTCTGAATTTTCAGATACCATACAAATTTTACATATAATCTAATTAAGATCAAATATTACTTTTCAACCCTCTTGGTTTCTATGAAAATCACTTCAGGTTTAACAAAACCTTTAAGAACTTACATCTCATATTCCATGATTTGTTACGTTAGAGAATACATAAGGAAGTTTAAAAAAAAAAAAAGATTCATATCAATATTTAAAAATTTTATGTTGATAGTAATTAGGTCAAAGAAAAGTGAAACTATGAGATGAAAATCTTAATTCCTCAAATTGATGGTCTGATTAATACAATTGTACAGCGGCGCAGGAAAAAAGGGGAAATTTCAAATTAGGAGAGCAAGTTGTACCATTTGACTAATAAAACATTTGTGGAATATCTATTCCAATTTGACAACAGAAATTTATAGCAAATCTCAATAAAATAACATGCAGACAGAAGCTATTATAATTTATAGCAACTAGCAAGATATCAAGATGTTCCAGCTCTTATTAAGAAAAGTTAAAGTTGATAAATGAAGATACAAATCAATACACCTACCATTAAAAGGCTACTCTTACTCAACAATCTTTTAACCTGAGCTTGCATAATTCAACATAAGGATGAGAGAGTTCTATTTTAGCACGTTAGATATTCAAGATATGGTGAGAATTGTATGTTAGTAAGTCACATAAACAGAAAGGATGACTAGTTTCCTCTAGTTATATTTGCAATTTTACTGCCACATTGATGATGGCAGTCAACAAAATAAATCATTGAACTGCATTCCCTAAAAGCAGTATAGATAGATGTTCACCTGTGAGTTTTCAATTACTGTAATTCATCAGCATTTCAATCTCTGCTAGCCAGTACTCGTCTCCGCTTGCACAAATTCTCAGAACGTCGTGTACGTCTACCACAGTTGTTGAACAAATTTTCTTTTCCAACAACTTTTAATTTCATCCTGCGCTTGTAAAACAAGCCATAGAACCTGTCCTTGATATTAGACCCTTGCTTGTGCTTCTAGATCATTAAAACAAGACTACCATGAGAACTTTCATAAAAAAAAAAAGGATTGTGTTAGAAAAATCAAGACATCAAGAAAACTGATATTTGCACTGAATCTGATAAATGTTCAAATACTAAAATTAAGGGCAGATAGATACAACTGATTCACAAACCAATAACGTTTGTAATTGGACCCAAACAATATATGTAGTATTAATCAACTTCTTAAAGTAAATTATATGGGAAAGAAGTTTGAAGGAACCAAATTATTTTAACATAAAACAGCTGACATGGCTGTAAATCTATGGAACTGTGGAATAAAATATTAAAACATTAAAAGCACAAAAGAGAGAAAACAAAAGATAACCTCACCATAAAGACATTTGACGTATTTCCTCCCAAATCAAAAGATTTTTCTGCAAAATCTACAACAAAGAATACCAGAACAGAGTGCTAAATATTGAAGTGCAAAATTGTTAGTCAGTAATAAAGAAAGTGCCACAAGTGGTACCTCTCATCTCCTTATTAACCATAGAGTTCCTAAGGAATTTCTGTAACATTATTGTCCCCTGGAAGGCCAAAAAAGGATAACCCAAGAATTGTAGCCTTTCTGAAAGAGTCATTTCCAGGAAACCAAAGGATGTTTCCCACGTTTCTCTTAGCTGCGGTATTGCAGGCAAGACTAATCTCTCGATGCTCATTTGAGTGAGCAGCTGCAAATAAAAATGATGCATTCATATCCATTATAGAAAAATATATCCTTTTTCCATGCATCCATTATATAAATCCTTTTTCCATGCAAACAAAAAACATGTAAGAGCACAACAAAGGAAACTACCTTCTCCAACTCCTGCAAAAGAAGTCGACACATACCCTGCCGGCGATATTGGAAAGGCGTAGCAACAAGAGGAATCTCTGCAGCCTTTAGCCCATGGATCCTGAATATCAAATATAACCAAAATGCAGCTTATGGGTAAGTAAACTCCGCAACCATCTACAAAAACAAAATAAAAGAGAAGAAAACAGGTACCTCACTGTGGCTATAGATAAAATTTCATCACTGTTATGGAGAACCATGGCATAGAACCCACGAAAATCTAATCGTTTGAGTTTGGACCTTCATATAGGAATATAAGAGAGAGAGAGAGAGAGAGAGGATAAATATCAGTAACTACCAGTTCATGTAAGATCCAGCTTTTAAAAATGATTAAGGGATTTTAACTAAAGAAGGAAAAGGAGCAAAATTTGCTGCAGCTTACAAAGTTTTAGGACAACTAATAATCAACAGAAACCATGACTTCCTTAGTGTAAAATGATATATATATATATATATATAGAGAGAGAGAGAGAGGGAAAGTTTATTTGAATCAAAATATATGTAAACAGTTTATTTCAACATAGAAAGTTTAAATCCTGTTCAACAAAAATGAACAGACAGGAGGATTATGCAAGCTTTTAAAATAATTGCATTAACCTAATCTAGAAGCATCAATTCTAGAAAAGTATTATAAAGAATGGAACACTACATAATACACACCAAAAATCTTTTGTTTGAACAGAAAGCCAGGCCTACATAATAACACTGTGAACAGTTCAACAATCAATGGCAACCCAAGGTCTTCAAACTAGCAGATTGAACAGCCCGGAAACATCAAAGGGAAGTCAAGAAAATAACTAAGAGTACTGCTAAATGCACCACCATTTTTTCTTTCCAAACTGCAACTTTTTTTTTCAAAATTTTTTGTAAGTGAAATTACTTAATTACCCTTCTCACAATTTTCTGAAGTTTTATAACTTTCCGGAAATGAATTTCCAAAAAGTCATATAATTTTCCAGAAAGTCATAAACCTTATCAGAAATTTAACTTTCTGGAAATTCATTTCCATAAAGGTTTATAATCTTCCAGAAATCCATTTCCGGAAAGTTATATGACTTTTCGGAAATCTATTGCCCAAAAGGTTTATGATTATTTGGAAATCCATTTTTGGAAACTTGTGTGAAAGAGAAAAAATAATTAAGTAATTTCACTTACAAAAAATTTAAAAAAAGAAAAAAAGCTAGGATGTGAAGAGAAAAGGCTGCGGTGCATTTAGCAGCACTCAATAACTAAGCACAGTCACAATTATCAACTACTCATTATCACTTCGAACATTAAGTCCAGAAAAAATCACCTATGGAAAATCATATCAGATTTAAACTATGTTTCTTGGACAAATTTTGGAAAAATAAAAATTTCCACTTTAACAATGTACATGACCAACAGGGCCTAGCTAAGGTGGTTGGTTGACAGCCAAAGGTTGAGGTAGAGATCCAAGTTTGAGTGTAGCACCCTTTTCTTGTGACCATTAATAAACTTCAGTATGAATCACATGTAGAAAATATTTGTTAAGCTCAAATTTGATTGAGCAAATTGTAAAGAAACATGTAGTAAATTCTGGCAACATAGACAACACTAATCATGACAAGGATATGATAATAAGCCAAGACTCCCCATGCTCTACGCAAAAAGTGACAAGCCACTGGCAATATTATGCTTACAAAATGATAATATTCTAACATCCTTTAGCAATGATATTACGTTTTTTTTAATAAGAAAAAGCCTTTCCAAGTAGCAGTATTTATTTAACCATCTCCAAACTATAACAACTAAAAAAAAACCTTACCCTGAGTTAAAAACAACATCCCTGACCAGATCTCTGTTGGTATGAGGATCCTTGACAGGCTCGAAACACTCATGGATAACCCTTAGTACATCAGATAGCTTAATCCAGGTATGAGGTTTTGACATATCAGGAAATTGATACACATTTTTCAGCGATCTCATCAGCGTCCAGCTTAAGCCATCCACAGTAGTGGGATTTGAAATTCCCAAAAGTTGATAAAGTTGAGCACATAACTGAAAAGGTATACATGTTGCCATATCATAAACTTGTTGGAATGTCAAATAATCTCAGTCCACTGTTCTCACTAAAGAAGACAATCAAATCCAGCAAGATGACAAAAATAGATCCAGAAATAACACCCTGAACATAACTTGATTCTGGAATTCAGAGAACTAAAATTTTCAAACTCAGTTGAATAACTCACCTACAACATGAAAAAAGAGAAAGAACCAAGTACAGGGCTGGAGTGGAGTGGAGTGGAGTGGAGTGGAGTGGATGGATAAAGCAGATCCTAAAAGCTAATCGCAGCCTTAAATGAGCTTAGATACAATAAAGGGAATTATACCTTATAACAAGCCTCACTACAAAAACTCCCAAATGGATAGTCTGTAGGAGATGGATGCTGAGCTTCACTTAGGCAAGCAACATGATCTACAAAGAAAAATATAGATTTTTTAAATACATATAAAAGATTTTTAAAAAATTCCCATGAACTAAACTCACATTGGCGGGAGCATTGGAGACAAGTTTTTGTAAAAAGTTCACTATCACTCTTGGAATCTCTCAAGCCACATAGTCCACAACAGCAAGATGGACAAAACCAATTTTCACCAGGTACATCCTAAAACAATAAAAGTATGAATCAAAAGTCAATCAAAATGAACCACTAACCCTATTTGAAGCAAAAATATCAGAATGTATATAAACTAAGGGATTTAGAAATTTGCAGTATATCAGCCACCAACACTTTCATAAAATAATGTATCATGTATTCATAAAGAAAGCCAATCTCATCAGATTCCAATGCTACACTTAACTCAAAAAAAAAAATTGAACGAACAGATTAAGAACTCAATCATGAAGAAAACTTAATGATGATTCATCCTTACAGCTCCAGGAGCGAAAGGACTTTCTAAAAGAGTGTGGAGGGAAAAAGCCTAGAGCGGTAGCATAGCAAATACTGCAGCAAGACACTGCACCACCGTAGCATGTTTTGATTATAAAGTTTTATGCCTTTTGGGGCTATTTTCTTTAAGTTATTTTGGACAGCCAAGACTAGACTTAATTAAGAGCAGGGATTTAATCTGATAACGTTTTATGCTATACAAAACACTCTTATTGATGTAATCAAAGTAGTTCAGGTTTTATCCACAACTATACACAAGGAGGAGAAGTTGTTTCTGTTCTCGGGCCTTGGATACCAAGGGTCAAGGAACCACCAATGCCTGCTCCTTTACTCCTCTCTCTACAAGCCTCTCCTTCTCTCCCTTGGTTCTCTTTCTTCCAAGAACCCAATAATAAATAATAAATAATAAATAAAAAAGAAAAAAATCCTAAATACCCATATAAATGACAAAATAGGGCATATTTACCCTTAAAAAATTTTAAATGCCAACTGAGTCCTGAGGACTCAACTTTTATATATTGTAGGATTCTATATTTCATATCGAAATTTACTGTATTCGTTATGCATAATTGCATATATCCAGCCAACGCCTTTGTGTTCTAGATGCATTTTTTTTCTTTCAAATAAGTTATAGATCTGTTTAGACATCCTAGTGCAAGTAGGTGATCACATGGAGGGTCAATTTGGTCAGGTTATACCAAGGTCAGCATGAGCAAGCAAGCAGTCTATATTATAGCTATATGATATAACTAAAACCAAAAGTTTAACTTGTTTCAACAGCTTCTGTATGCATTAAGCAATGCTTAAGAAAAACAAGGTTAATTAGTTAGTATTATATTCTACTCCTTTGTACCCAAAAAAACAAATTTCTTAGGACAGCCCCTAGATTAATTTCATCACTTTTAATAGTTATTTTTCTGATTTCTTTTCCTTGCACTTAAGTCAGGTTTCTATCCACAAGCTTCCTTTTTCTTCTAGCACTGTAATGATATACCAGACTGCAATCTTCCAAGCATAATAGAAAGCACTAGTCCAAATAACAGTAATAACTATTTCCCGACCTAAAAGATTTTGTTTTTACACCAAAAAACAAAACTTGGAAGTAGAAATAAACCAATATTTTACAATGTGAATTTAGGCATCCAAAAAGAATAAAAATGCATGTGTTACTATGTATTCAACTAGTGGAATCTGTAAAAAGTTTTTTATACTGCAATAAACTGAACCACAGAAACAAAAGACACAACAGTAAATAGGTGATACAGGAAGAGAACAGACCTTGAGGTTAATGCAACTTAAATGATATGCACATGGGCAATGATCACATATAATAAGATCTCCAGCATAGTGACAGACACTACATATTGTATCAAACAGTCGGGAGGCACGACACTGCCACTTCCTCTTGCTCCTCCGAGAGCAAGATACCATGTCTTTAAGCCTAACCTTTTTTCTGCAGTTATCAATGGGAAGACTCAGACTATGGTGACCAGCAGCTAAATCATCTTCTTTCTGAATGACATCTAGGCCTTTCTCCTCTTTCCTTGGGATTGCTTCAACTTTTGAATCAGCCTCCTTAGGTTCCTTTGAAAACCTTTTCCTCCTTACTAAATCATTGTTCCGCTTATAAACAAGAAGGAAAGAAGCCCTGTTATGCCCCTTCTCCACCTTTGATGGCTTTGTAACCTTTGAATTTGGTTTCTGACACATCTTTGAAATCCTTCTTCTCATCAATGTAGATCGTCTTCGCTTATGAATAACAGAGAAGAACGCTAGCCTGCTCACATGCATTTTGCTACAGTCAGGAAAATTGGCAGCAAGATTACCGTCGATCTGCCCATGCTTTTTGAAACTATTGCAAGCTGATTGATTGTCTTGAACATGAGAAACAGCATAAGAAAAGGTTTTACTTCCTCCTGAGCTTTCAACACAGAACTGATTAGCCCCATTTTCACAAAGTGTAGGAGACTTTTGTTTGTTTATTTCAGATTCAAGTTTACCAGACTCCTTTATTTGTGTAGGAAGAGAACATACTTCTTTATTATTATCAGTGTAATGATTTGGTATCTGATCAGACTCATGTATCAGTATACTGTAGTTACTCTTTATCAACGATACATCTGATGTCATTCGCTTTTCTCCACATGATTTATCTGCCCAAAAACTTTTCCTGGTAGATTTATTTATTGTAGATAGCTCCTCATGTTTCAATTTTGACATTACAGATCGTTTCCTACCTTTGTGCTTACCAAGAGGACCTCCTTCCTCTCGTTTTTGAGATGATCTAACAGCCTTGAGATCATTGCAGCTTCCAGCCAGCACAAAAGTGTCAGATAAATGGGAATTCGCTTGCCCAGGATCCTTTAACTTATTACCTTTTTTTCCCACCATCCATGCCAAAATTTTGCGATTAGCAAGATTGCGCCGACTTATTCCAACTGCAATCTCCTGAACAACTTCCATGAAATACTTCCTCCAAACGGTCCGAACACCACAAGTCCACTCAGATATCATCTTTATGAACCCATAATTTAAACGTATGGAGGACCAGACTTTCTTTACACAACAAGCCAAGGGAACATCACCTTCAAGCTCCTTCGCTAACTGCACCAATATCCATACACCTCGATCTCTCCAAATGCCCATAAACTCATCCCATTCATGAGCTACACGTAATTGACTCACACTGAATTTGCACTCATCACCCTCATCAGGAAAATACACAGACCGCTCAGATGCATTATCATCATTATCCAAAATAACCCCTTCCCACCATGCATCTTCAAACAACGCATCAACGCAAACCCCAAAACCCAGCTTTTGATTAGAAAGAGGTTGAGATGGGGGAGGCAGAGGTCGTACATGCCCACGATAGGTCAATGGAATGTGGCGACGGCTATGAAGACCTTCAATTGCCTCCGTCACAGGGATGGATTCAATGAGCTTTGACTCACCTGTTTCACACAAGAGTTCATCATATTCAATGGATCGGAATAAGTTTGAAACACCAACAACCACCCCAGGGTGCCATGATCCTCGTAGTCCTTCCTCAAACTGGCGAACCTAAAACCCATCCACAATGGAATTCATATCAGCACAGCAGCAAATCAAATAAATGCAACATTTTGTGAAAAAAAAAATGTAACAATCTTTTTAGTACAGGAACACAAACATCCCCAAAACTCAAAACATTTGTTTAAATAAAAAAATAGTTTCAATGGGACTTTAACTTGAAAACTGTGACAATTACTAGTGAACAACTTGAATGACCAAGCTAACTACAATGTCAGTTTCAACTTAATCTCCTGAAGATCTAGAAAAGGGGGACTAGAGCTTGGGTACTTCTCTTTAATTTAAAATAATTAAAACTTAGTCTATGCATTGGCCTCCTTTACTTAGCTTTTCCGTAATTTAAAAGATTTAATAATTTTAATTTATAAAAGAAAAAGAAACTGTTGTTTATGCTTGTGAATCAAATCTCCATATCATACTCGAAAAGAAAATAAAATCAATAAAATTTTATGAAATAACCCAAATTCAGTAATAATAAATTTTAACAAAAGAGAATTACAAATGATTTTGGAATTAAAAATTTGCCAGAAAAAATGTGCTCTCGCGTGGTTACTCAGAAAATGCGGGAAAATTAATTTTAAATTTGAAATTTTAATTTCTTAAAAAAAATGAAACCAATGTAACAAGAGATCTCGAGGCTTCGATTAAGGAATCAACTCAAACACATGTAATTTTTTTCAATATTTCGCTAAGAAAACAAAATTTTCGAAAGAAACAACAGATAAGTCTCCTGTTTGGCTGCCGGGAAAATGCAGGATAAATAGAAGAAATTCTCAACTTGCAGGTGGATCAGAAAAATCAAAAAGAAAAGATAAAAATAATGTCAATTCTGAAACAAATTTCCCTCGCATTTCTTTACTGAGAAAAGAAACAGAACAATAAGAAGTGAAAATTAAATAAATAAATCAATCAATCAAAATTTATCTTAAAAGAAAAAAAAACCGTTAGCAATTACCTCGACTCTCTCGTTGAGAAGAAGCTTCCGCTGGTTCATGAATTCAATTTTTCTTTTCTTTTCCAAGACAGAGTAATCGTGTGTTGTGTGCGAAGCTAGTGGGTCTTACTTTTAACAGAGGGAAAATTTGGCCTTTTGTTTTATACTTATATTATTATTATTATTATTATTATTTTTATAATTAGCTTAATAATTTTGGGTTTCAGCAGAAAGGAATATTCTGCTGCTCCGAGTTGTACATTTTAATCTTTAGTGATAGAGCAGAGTTTGCGTACGTTAGGCGGGTCGTAAGCTCTCAGCCGTGGATTTTCGGTCGATGTATGTTTTTATTTTAATCTGCGAAATATACGAAACTTCTAGCCCTTACGGAGGATCCGTTATTTATCAGCTATTGATAATATACAATCTAAAAATAAATTCGGATGACGATAATATTGATTTCAATAACATTAAAAATAATGATAAATGTTTAATTAATTATTATAATAGTAATATTAAAATTAATGATAAAATATATATTTAGATAATAAAATAATGATAGTAATAAAATAAAAATAAAAATAATTATTAAAGATTTACTTTAAAAATATATTGGTAAATTATTTATATATTTTTTAATATTATTTATAACATTTAAAATTTTAAAAATTTTATTTAATCAAAATATTAATATATTTTATTTATTATTATTAAATTAAGAAAATTATTTTAAATTAAACAAATGAAAAAACAAAAAAAAAAGGCTAAAATGGTAGAAATATTTTTGTCAAGTTACTGCAACTTTAAGGGTAAAAGAGAAAAAAAAAAAAACAAAATAGGGGCAAAATTGGTAGAAGGCTGCGTTGAGGGAAAGTGATTTTTCACTGGAGCTCTTAGCTCTAGTAGAGAACCGGAGGTCACCAAAACTCACTGATATTATCCAAACACCAAAATAACGCGATTTAAGCCAAAAAGTGATGCAAATCAAACCCAACGGCACCGATCGAAGATCCAAATGACGATCCAAATGACGCCTAAATAGTCAATCGACCATCCAATAGCTTTCCCTCGGACTATAGATCAGTATTCAGCCTATTTTTATGATAATTCACATTTTTTTTAATTAGTTCTTTGGATTTTATTCATAAAAATAAAAGATTATTAGAATTAACGAAAACAAATATATTTTTATCAAGGGATACCCACATGGCATAATAACTTACTTTTCATTAATTTTTATAAAAAAAAATAAAAAAATTATGTCATCTTTTAAAAAATAATAATTTGAATGAAAATGTTAGTAATTCTTAAATTGTAAAAAATATTTAGCATAAAAAATTAATGTAATATTTCTTATTTCCAATAATTTTGTAATTTAAACTCCACATTTTACTCTATTAATATATATATATATATATATTATAAAACATCTGTATGTATTTCAAGTTTAAAAAGTTAAGGTTAAAATTTTTTTAAATAAAAAGAATTTTGATAATTTATATGATATAAAATTTTACACCAACCTTAGCAAATTTGATCCGATCCCATGATTAGATTATGAACAAGATAATTTTTTTCGTTTTTTATTAACCTTTCACTCTTTTTCAAGTTTTCTCGAGAAAAATATTATCTTTTTTTTTGTTTGTATAAAAAAAAAATTAGAGAAGGAGGTCAACTAATCCTAGCCTTACTCGTTGCCAATACTTTCTACCATATTAGAGGGAAAATTAGTTTTGGAGAATATGAGATTTTTCTTTAAAATTTTATTTGTGGGAATATGGTTCATGTTTATCTAATTATTTAGAGTAATCTTAGATTCCAACAATACCCAAAAGTCTCAGAATCATAAACACACTTCTCCTTTTTTTTAGATTTTAAAAAGAAAGTTATTTTTGTTTCATATTTGATCTCAATAAAAAATATTTTTATTCAATTTTATCTTTTTGAAAATTAATGTATGGAAAGAAACTTAACTTTGGTTTTTTATTTACAAACGTAGTATTGAAAATAAATAGTACAAATATTGCGTTTGTTGGAAGTTTTAACATAGTAATTGAATACTTTTTTTTTCAATGTCAAATATGATGTTTTAAGGAAACCAAACACAATAATTATGAACAAATAGTCTAATGAATAATTAAGTAATATTTTAACACGCAATTTAGCAGTTACCTGAGGTAAGGACAATAGTTAAATGTGCCTCTAAAAAACTTTTAATTGGCATTGCAACGAAGTATTACTATCATTGCCTTGCACTTTTTATTTTTCGATATTAACTATAAAGCAAGGCAAATTTGCTCAATTTAGCATACATGAAAATAAGGGATTAGTCATTTGTTAGAAGTGAATAAAAATCCCCTCTTTAATTTTGACAATCTTTCAATGTGGTGTATTATATTTGACTACAAAACCTAGAATGTGAGAGTCTAATTTTTAGAAGTCTAGTTTAAGGTAATCTGTGAGAAGTATGTTTTGCATTAGAACTATGTATTCAGGAATGATGACTTGAGTAGTGGTTTTCACTGCATTTCTTTGTGGACAAACATAGTATTTAAGGCTCAAAATAGTTTTGTTATATAAATTTAAGGCATGTGATTATTTACTGCATTTCTTTTAAGCTAAACACAGTATTTAAGTAAGTAATTTTTTTTTTATCTTCCCACTTGAATACTACGTTTTGAGACTTTGAAACATAGTAATTGTGGATTCTTTACTACATTTCTTGAAAGCTAAATGCAGTATTAAATTTTGACGTTTTCTAATTTTTCACTCAAATACTACATTTCTAGGTTTTGAAACACAATAATCAGGGATTATTTCCTGTGTTTCTTAGATGAACAAAATTTAGTAATCAATTACTTTTTTTTTATAATTAGCCACTCAAATATTGCATTTTTAAGATTTAAAATGGAGTAATTGTGAATTATTTCATTAAAGATTGCCTTTTTGCCAATATTTGACTTCATATTTTTTTTTCAAACATTGTGTTTGTATTTGACAAGAACGTTGTGTTTGTTATGTAGTGAAAGATAATATAGTAAAAATACTTGATTAAGTAATTTCATTTTCCCCCTAACCAAACATAAGAATCTAACAATCCTATGCCATGAAGAATCACCCCTTGCCAAAAATTTACATTTTCCCAAATATCATTTTCTCTCTTGGAATCTAAAATACCACGAACCAAATGCCCTTTTAAAATATTTAACTAGACTACCTATTTTATCTTTTTTCTAATGTTAAATTCCATTGTGTGCATATATAATTATATATAATCTATAAGAATAATTAAAGTTACCCTTAGCTTAAAATTATTGACTAAATCATATATGTTATAAAAAAGATTAAATAGGTAATTTAGGAATACATAATAACAAAATAGTTTTGATAGCATTTACAGATTTTAGTAGGTGAATTACATTTACACCCATATTTATACTCTATACACTTCACTACTAAATACATTCCAAATTCAAACTTAAATTTTTTATTTCTACTAAATACACCCCACACCCCATTTTTCTATTTCCCATTCCTACCATTTCACTCATCCATTTTCTTTTCTTCCCTTTTTTTTTTCAATCCAAAAAAAAAAACCCTAAATCTATCACACTAAGCTCAAATCACATGTGTTTTTCAATTTTCCACTAATTAAAGGTACAATTTCTAGCTTTTTTTTCAATTAATTTGGTTAAATTTGGTTAAAATGCATGTGAATATAGGTTAGGGTTTACGATAAGATTTAAGGTGAATTTGAGTTTCTTGAAAATAGATTTTTGAGAAGACTTAAGGCTTTTTGAAAAGCTTAAATATCCATTTTTTTTATTTTCTATGTAAAGAGGATCGATCCCTTGTACAAGAAGAATCGATCCCCTGTGCAAAGAAGATCAATCCTGTCTAAACTCGAGAGTTTACATGTTTTTAATGATGAAGAAATTGGACTTTTGTCTAATGTCATTTTTTATTTATGAAATTTTGTTAAATATATTTTATAAGCTTAATGAGTTGCTTTTTTTTTCTTACAAATATTATTCGGACACAAGGAAGAGATATTCTTACTCGAGGTAAAGGTACTAGAGTTAATGCCAGTCTAAGTCAAATGTGTCTGACTACTTTCGAAAGAAGATAATGAGAATGAGAGAGGTGAGCTAGAAAATTGTATGATCGATGACATTCCTTAGGTTAAGCTTTCGGCTTTCACCGTGGATGAGCATCACGTAGAGTCTTTTCTAGGAGGTCTAATTGATACTATTGTATAATTAATAACATGATACTGTCCATTTTTTTAAAAGGTGGCAATCGGAGATAAACACATTTCATATGTCATTTGGTGAGTTAAGTATCACATTTGATGATGTGTTCATCTTTCTACCCATACCAATCATTAAGATATGATTTCAATGAATCATTTAATGATGCACGAGGCAAACACGGTATTGTGAAGGTTGCTTGAAGTTTCTTATGAGGTGGTTAGATTCGAGACTGTGCAAGGTAAGGGATTTATTGTTTAACTATTTTGATTGTTTGATACCTTCAGGCATGCCATTGATAGTTCAGATGATGAGGTGATTGCTTGTGCATCCCAAGCTTTTTCTACTATATTTGATAGAAAGTATGCTATTTTGTGACAAGATCACAACAAGAGTCTCGATAATGTACTCACCCTTATTGGAAAACCTTATTACCATAGATAGCTATGCTTGGGGGACGATTAGATTCACTTACTTATATAGGCATTTTGTGATTACGGGTAAGGTATTCGTGCATCAAATCACCAGATATCTTTATCCAGGTATATATTTATAATTAGTTAAAAAATTTCATATTTACCTGATTTATTTATCATTACTTATATATGTGATTATCTAATTAAATATTACTTATATATTTCATGTAGGTATGAATTTTTTAGCATTTTCCATCATTGGGGCCAGTCGTCATATTGACATACTCAAATGATCTACTGTGTACTCGCTGATGGAAGACTTGTACTTATGTTGATACATTGCAAGCTTTACAGGAGTACCTAGATGGGTTACAATATCGTACGTGTGCTGAGAACTATACATCAATTGATGAAAGGTACATTCATTGCACAAGATTGCCTTTTTCATTGGATGTTTCAAATGCAGGGAAATCCTATAATCATATCA